ATTAATTAAATCTTTTTTAATGCTATCCCAATTCTCAGATAATCCGTTAGAATTTACTATGCGCGCGGCTGGTCCAGTTATTTTATTTAAAATAGCATTTACAATACATAAATTAACAAACTCGTTGCCAGGATTTTCCTTAATACAATACTCATTAACAAATTGGTCACAAAGACGGATAAATCTAGGTAAGACGTGAGGATTACCATCAAATTCTGGTACTAGGCGCATGGCCTTCAGAATATTATCTACGTTACCCATATCTCTCCTCGGACACTGATTCTAAAGTTAAATCTCTATTTCTATCTAAATTGAGCCTACGGGATAGTCTATCGCACGCAGGCCCTCTAGGGGTGATTTTCCTAGGGTGGAAAATGGTTGCAACTAAACTATATAACTATTCACTTTACACCTTGAGAGCAACTTTACAGGAAAAATGTATAGTGTACTCACATGCGCTGCATATTGGTAGTTCTAGGATCGATGTCTTGATTTCTCTTCCAGCCAGGAAACTTCAGGTTCTTCTTTCTGGATACTCGTGGACGCGAATCGCTCGCGACGACGATAGCGATCATAGACGACACGGTAATCGATGTGAGATATACCCTATTTCTATTCTCGATACGTCTCGAGTATCCTACCGACTGCGCCAGTTATTGAAGTCGCTGGCGGAAGACCCAAAAAAAACCAATTTTTATAAGTAAACTAAATTTAATTCTAAAAATTAATTATTACAATTATATAGGTGTCTTCGGATCGATGTGATCCGTAAGTGCAATTATATAAAATTAAAAATCAGGGAAATGGGTATTATTGCTGTGGGGACTAAAATGCTGATTCGACGCAGGTGGTTTTCTCGGTAGCGCACCTTCTTGCGTCATGCTTGGTGGTCCGATCCGATCGCCGTTGAGGATGTGTCGTAATACTTGCTAGGTATCTACTATAACATACATGTAAACAAATGTTGTTTACATGCATGTATGTTGTTTACGGTAGCGTCGGTTAAAAAATGTACGGATACAGTGCGTGCTTTGTGTCGCGATTTTTGTTTAGAAAATCTAATGACGGTAGTTGAATAAGCTGCTGGCACTAACACTGACGTTGTTTTACTCCAGTCAACACACGATCACGGCTAGTGCAACCTAGTGGAAACATTGAGGGAGGTAAATACCTTATTTACCACAAAACTATTCATGTTAAGACTGTGTATATATTAATAATAGTTATTTTTAAACTTTTATGACGGGCCACATTGTGAAATACAATTTAGCAAGTTCAGTTTCTTTTAGTAGAAAGAAAGAAAGAAAAATATTTTATTCAGATAGTATTTATTTATTTATTAGTAGATAATATTTGTTTTGAGAAAAACACAGGTAGCATTTTCTCTCAAATAATGTCACAACCCAGAATAGCCGAAAAAGAAAATTAGTAAGAGATGAATTGAATTTGGATTTTTTTATGTTCAATAAAAAAATCCTTTATTTAAAATACAATAGAACAACAATGAAGAGACATACTCTGTTTAGCGGAGACGTGACGTGTAAATGAAGTAGGTAGTCGATTTGCCCACTCATTATCTTATTTGGTGACCATAAATTGTAATTAGTTGCATCCGATGACGATACCATTGCTAAAGATGACAATTAAAAAAAGATGATTGTACAATGTTTGTTAAAGAATAGATAAACAAATGATTTGTGCATTTTTGTTCTTGCACCACACAACCTGCATCATAATATTGTAAGAAATTATTTACTAATAAGTATAATAATAATAATAATTCTTTTATTGGAACTAAAAACATGAAATATATGAAATGTTTATTAAACTGTTGATATTGAAAGTCATCGGCTTGAAACCGCTGACAAACACGGTAGTAAGCACGGAAGTGTCTGCTTGGCACGCACCAAGTTCCGACCAATAGTAACTAGCTCGGTTCCGTTAGACGATCACGCTATAGGTAATGTTCAGTACCTTTGTATAATGTAGGTCTATGTTTATTGTATTTACTAAAGCAGTATAATAATAGTGAAGTGCAAATGTGCGGTGACAGGAAATTGATAGCATATATGTGTGGGAGTTTACTATGCCGGTTGGACGTTTTAACAAATGCCATACTGCTATTAGGCAATGTTTTTATGTGACTGCAATGGTAAACATTCTCAGCTGATGGTAAGCATTAATTGTCGCATATATACATGAACAACAGCACTATGGACATCACGTTATCATGCGTGATACCTCATGCGTTTACCTAGCTTTTGGGTAGCTCTTTACGACTGGCCCTGTATTTGCCAGTATCTTATCTATACCAAAACGGTTTTGACTCGTGTCTAATTAGTACCTAATTAGTATTTTTTTTTCTGTACCTTGTATATACGCGATCAGTAATTGTACTATAATCGGATTGGTTGGTAAATTACTATGTAAGTCTACAGTCCAGTGAGTGCACGACTTTTTATTTAATAGATGCCTGCGGCGCTTTGATTAGATTTCAAGACCCGGAGTACACTTTATCCAACTCCAGTATATGTTTCCTTTTCAGGCATTTTGGGGGGTTGTTAATGTGTAACCTCTGGGCTAGCTCATTAGGATGGACACTCGAGCCAGCAGACAGCCGAGCCTTGTATTTTAAGCTTGTTATAGCAACCTCCTCTCGTACTGTAAGTAAATTCGAGAAATTATGGATCTCCGAGTTGGTTATAAACCATGGTGCCTTAAGAATGGTCTTCAAGATGACGTTCTGGGACCGTTGGAGAATTTCAATGTTGGAGCTACTAGCACTTCCCCACAGTTATATGCCATAGGTCCAAATTGGTTTGATGGCTACTTTATAGACAAGTAATTTATTCTCTACAGAGAGGTTAGAGTTTCTACCCAAGAGCCAATACCAATTCCTGAATCTGAGGTTGGTTTCATCTCGTTTTGCTTTTATGTGGGTTTTCCAGATGAGCCTCCGATCCAAATGAAGACCCAAGTATCTGACAGAATCAACATGTTGCAAAGTTTGATTAGCTAAGGCAACTGGTGGACAATTACCCTTTCGGAGAGTGAAGGTGATTTGAAAGGATTTAGTGGAGCTAGCCTTAATTCTCTATTTCTTTAGTTGGGTTTGCAATATCGCAGTAGCTATCTCGGGCTTAGGGTGGCTTGCTAGAATAGCTGTATCAGCGTATGTAGCTGTTGTGATATTGTCAGTCATCGACAGATCAGCTGTGAATAATGTGTAGAGGTATGGTCCCAGCACAGATCCCTGAGGTACACCAGCTATTATTTCATAGAGCTCCGAGCAAGCACCTTCCTCTTATACCTGGAAGATCCTATATCCTGTAAGTAAGATTTTAAGATCTCGAAGAAGGAGTGGGGGACATAAGTTTTTATTTTACAAAGAAGTCCATCGTGCCACACTTTGTCAAAAGCCTGCTGAATGTTAAGGAATACAGCAGAACAATATTCCTTTTGTTCCAAGGAGAATCTTATTTTGTCGTAGACTCTGTGTATTTGTTCAATGGTCGAATGCTGCTGACGGACTGCTTTTCAGTTCTTTGACTATAGGTAACAGTCGCGCAAGCAAAACTTTTTCGCATACCTTCGATAAGATTGGCAACATGCTAATTGGCCGATAAGAAGTTGCCAAGTGTGCTGGTTTGCCTTGTTTCCGGATCATCACAATCTGAGACACCTTCCAATGGGTGGGAAAGTAGGAGACTCTTATGATGGCGTTGATGAGCATTGTGAGGAACACTATTGCTTTTTTGGGGAGTTCTTTAAGCACTTTAGGTGTTACCAGATCGTATCCAGGAGCAGACTTGTCTTTGAGATATAAAATTATCCTTTGAATTTCTCTAGCAGTTGTGAGTTTCAGTGGCTGGGTTATATGCAAGTCCTGCCTCAACACCTCATTGATGGAATCCACCTCAGAGGAAGCGTCAATATCATTTGGAGTGAAAACTTTTTCCAAGTGTTTAGCGAAAGTTTCAGCCTTTTCTTTGGAGGACCGAGCCCAATTATTATCTGGAGTTTTGATTGGTGGTTTTGGGGCCTGTGGCTGATTTAAATGTTTGGTTGCCTTCCACAAGGAATAATTGGAGGCTCTGTGGGCGCTTAAAGACTCCACGTGTTGTGATACCTAATTAGTATATAAGTATATAAATAGCCTTGTATATTATAAATAAGAAGGAAAATATCTATAGCACAGATATATTACATGTCTATAGTATTTGCTTACCATTTCTTCAGATTGCTCGATTACTTGTGAATGTAAATTATAAAACTGTCTTGCTTCTACCCTACAAAGTGTTCCACAATTTTGTAATTTAGAAAGATTCTGTGACTATGATGTTATCTAATTAAAAACTCCTATAACATTAATTATCTTACCAGCAAAAATCTCTCAGACATACGTTTCGCCTTTCCCCTATCGCCCGAAAATTCTCCTAATTTAAGAGAAAACTCCCTAAACTTTATTAACATATACATATTTAAGAGCAATTAATACAAAATACCTTTTACTAGACCTATATAACGTAAACGCTATTTATTTAGTCACTCTGAATATTACATCAACTGGTATTTCTACAATATATATTGGTATTTATAATTAATAATATACTAGTTTAGATATAAATTTACCCGTCTGGTAATGAAATAGGAATGCAATCTGGAATAATCCTGACATGAGATGTCATCAAGAATAGACTATACTAGAAGAGAGTATAAGTACATTGATGTAAAAATAATAAATTTCGAAGACGTCGTACCAAGTCTCTCGGCCAGATTTATACTTGTAGGTTAAAATGTTCTTTTCGAGACCATTATCCTACGTAGGTCATTATGACGATGAGTTAAAACAATATTTATTTAAAGTTATAGACATTGTTATTGTTGAATAACAATTAATGTCTATCGTAGACATTTATTAATATCCAAGTATAGCATGTATTGTTATATATACTACAGATAACATTTTTACGTTACACGTTTTTTATTCTTACTTTTAGAACATAATGGCGAATATTTTGACGATACTGACTATATTGGCGGTTCATCTGGTGCAATGTAAGGTGGAGAAAGTAAGCGATTCAAGTAAGGAAGATCCTGCATCGGCAGTTTATAAGTAAGTACGAACAGCTATCATATATACATATACTCTATATTAATACTAGAAAGAGATAAAGTTTGTAGGGCGTTTTTATTGCATCTACTAAACCACTTATGGAAATTCTTTTACTAATACAAAACCACGTTATTTGTGTGTCATAGGCGTATATAACATCACGCTACGACTAATAGGAGTGGAGCTGATGAAAAATGACGCAAAAACGGGCAAAATGTGACGCAAATGAAGTTTCGCGCGTCAGTTAGTATAGTATATTAATATAATAAAGAGAAAGGATATTTTTTTGTAAAGTATATTTGTGATAGATAATTCCAAATTTACTTGACTGATTTTATCTACGCACATAGATCGCCTTTTTTAAGGACTTGTAATGAACCTTATAGGCCATCTGATGGTAAATGGCAATGTCGCGTATGTGGATGAATTGTCAGACATCCTATCATCTTGCGACGCCTGTGGTGTCATTCTGTCTTTACTCAGCAACATCATCTTTCAAACTACACACAGCTTAGGCTGCTGGGCAAATAGGTGACATAGAGATATCGATACACCCACGCAGACCATATTTTTTTATAATTTTTCTCTCCATACGCTGATGACATTAGCTTAATATTATCAGATTGGCATACAGTTTTCCTTTGAGTTGTCTTTCTCTTACAGGTGCGTCATGTGTGTCGTTTTTTTTAATGGACGATAAAGGCATTCCATTATCATCAATTAAAAAGAAACGACGATCATTATGCACCCGTCTATGATAACAGTTTACACTGGCGAGGCACCAGTGGAGGGTAATAAAAAGAGCATGTAGACAGGTCAGTTAGTCCATCGTGACAAATGCCAATTCACCACAGTTTCCGGGGGAAACCGCGTGGTACATTGTTAGCAATGGGGTTATTAGTCCACATTCTAACAATCCCCTTACTCCTTATGTTGTTTACTCTACGTGGTTTCTATGCCATCCTGGGAATTAACAGGAGGTCACACATGAATTATTACTCCGTCATTAATTTTTTAATGTACACCTAGATATTTCATATGCTGACGGACATAAGCTGTTTTTTATCAGTGTCAATCAATATATCATGGTCACGCGTACAAACTTCATATGTATCAATCGTGCCCTAGTTTATCATTACTGAATAATAATGATTTCCATATAGTACTCGTACTAGCAGAGTCCGCGATTTAGTAGCCGTGGGTATATAACTTTTTGTTTCTTAACCGATTAGAATAAAAGAAATCAATATTTTTATTGAAACTTACCACAGTATTTTAGTAAAAACCCAACACACAAAACAATTATATCGTTTCTTAGTTAATCAGCTACTAACTAGTCAAACAAGCTAAGGTCTAACAATATTTGCTATAGATGCTATTACGTTGATCTCCCCAATAATAGTTCTTTTTCATACATATATGGCAAGAAAGGGAGGGACTATCGAGATCATATACAAATAATATGGAATAAGCAGATAATACTATATATACATAGAATTAGGAAAAATTACGGAATGGTAAGATACCGTAATATTTCGTTTTATTTTTTTTATTGAGTTCCCGATATTTCAAAGGCAACTAGCTCAATGATAAACTTACCGACGAAACACTGGCGAAATATCGGGCGATATAATGATCGCGTCAAATTTAAATCAGTACGATACTTATTAATTGATTTTCATACATTTTCAGTGTATATCATTTACCATTTACCATCACCAGATGGGCCGTATGCTTGTTTGTATAAAAATTATGTACCAACAGCGGTCAGTCACATTTTTACAATATGTGGAGATTGCGACTTATTATTAATACATTGCCATCGGTGGGTTCACAGGCCATCATGGATGTACAAGTGCGTACCTAATGAGGGTTGCCAGCGGACGGGCCACCCGCAACCTATGAGCAGTGGAGAGACCAACTCTACATCGCAGCTGTACGATAGTGTTAAGTTATGTAGAACAGTTTGCGGACGATTTGGAGGCCTATGGCCCAAACCAGTTTCTGCTACCCTGAATTCTCAAACTGTGAAGATACATCCTCAATATCTCAGGTAAGTTCATTTAATAACTCTTCGTTACGGTATATTGAAGAAAAATTGTTTGGGTTAATTTGGGTGCCTTCCATGTGACGTGCCAGAGTCGTTTTGCTATTTTTGATGTCTAAGATGCTTTTACCCTTAGTAATCAATAAATTCACTGCTATAAATACTACAATATAGGAAAAATTTTCTATTTGAGTATTTAATTGAATTAGTGCTAAGTGGTGGTTGGTATTCACACACTTAAACTTAAAAATGTAAAGTAATAATAAAATTATTTAAAAGAGCAACACGCAAGTTTCTTGTTCGTTCTTCTTGTGATGAGACAGCTTTCCGAATGAGCGGTAGATTAAAAAAATATAATGTCTATTCAAAAGTGCTTCAATGTAAGTTTATTTGAATAAATGATTTTCTATTCTATTCTATTCTAATAATTTTCAAACAATGTGACAAAAGTCGCTGATACTTGGAATGGGTGTCTGAGAGTTTTTGTGTTTATGTGGTGGTTTTATAAATGGCATACCTTTATCAATTCGATGTAATTGTATATGTAACTAAACTAAATATATATGTTTGGTTTAGTTAAATATACAATATAATAATAATTAATATTTACTCATGGTTACACTTAAGAATTTATGAAACCACTTTATGAAAATGCTTGGATGTTACTTACATCCAACCATTTTCATACATTTTTAGATTTATCTTTTATAAGATAGTTCGAATAAAATTAAGTAATAAATTGTTATCACTATCTTGTAACCATCAATTTTAATAGTTAGACGGTTCTATCTCTAAATACAAGTTTATAATCACAAATAGATAACCATTATCAACATCGTCGTGGCCTCCTAATCTACTATCCCGACTTAGGTCGTGAGTTTGAATATGCCCAAAATTAAATAGAATGTATTTAATTTTTGATCAAAATTGATGATCATGACAAATTTTTATGAAAATGTAGCCAGAAAAATGTGAGCACATCATTATATTACATTCGCTATGAAGTTGACAACTGATAATGCCTCTGATTCTCCAAATGTGCTATATATGTATAAAATATTAATATTGCAAAATACCTTCCTAATATTATTAATGCGAGAGTTTGTGAGTATTGAAAGATGAATGGATGGATATTTGTTACTTTTTCACGCAAAACTATCAGATTTTGAAGAAACTTTTCAGTAATACTAATAACATAGGCCATAAATTTTTTAAAGTTTACAAATATTATGTCACCTAATTGGGGTGTGTTTTTCCGACCTTTCTAAAGCTTGTATACTTACAATATTTCTTCACAAATTCTTTAAATTATAATTATATGAAATGAAATAAAGGAATGATTAGATCATCCTTGCATATCTACATGGAACCGTAGAGTAGCTGTATTTAGAAGTAATAACGATACACAAACAAGTAATAGAGAAACTAATAAATCCAAAGGAAATAGTTAAAGCACTTGTTTTGTATTTGATGGGCTGGTTGATACGTAACGATATAGCGACACAGGTGTCTCGCGCCCGTCTGTCTATTCTCGGCCGGATCGCATCGTTTGCTGACTCTACGTCATGGCGACGACACTGTTTTATGTCTATGGCACAGTACACATAAATAAGGGATACAAATATGTACCATCGATTACAAAATTTAAGAAAATTATAAGTTTAAGACAATTATCGAAAAAAAATAGTAGAAAAGTCGATCTAGAGTGTGTGTCTAAAATGCTGACTTTGAAGAAGAGCAAAAAACTGTGTGGAATTAATTGTTGTTACATTTGGGGTATTTAATTATGGATGTTATTTGAGAAATACCTATTTAACATCTATAGTGACAAAAGTATATTAGTTTTGAAGTGTTAAAGCAAATAGTTGAAACATTCTCATCAGTTCAAACTTAAACGCACATATTACGAACTGTATATAAACGTAAAAATACATGAACATGTGAGAATGGAACTTATCATCTTCACCATGTTATCTACATATAATGATATCTATTTATACAGGCTTGTACTGTTATAATATATTTACGCCCTATCAAATTTATTCAGATTAGGTATATATTATTATTATATATATATTTATATATGACAAAATATTTTTACTGATTTTCAAGATCTACGGCGTAATTTCTTTATTGTATGTTACAAATATACAATAAAGAAAAGCCATTAAAGACAATATATTAACGTACACATGTACATATATAAGTATATATACTAATGTTGTCTGTCACAATTCTTTATTATACACTAAATCGTTCCGTATACAAAAATATATAATAAAATTCTTTATAGAAAATATAATGTAAATATGAAGTATACATATATGGCCAGTAGGTACATCAGCTACAGTTAAGTAGTCTTTAGTAGTAAGTTTCCAGGTGGGAGCGCATGGATGTCGACTTAATAATTTACTAGCAATGGCCATTAGTTCCTGTTACAAACGCTCCCTACTTATTTTATTAATCTGACTAAATATGCTCTATTCTTTTGTTTATAGTATACTAACTCTACAAATTATTCTAGTAAATGGAAAAAGATTCTATAGTACAAAAAAATATTGAATACGAGTAAGTATATCAATGATTTTTTATGAACAACCACACTTTTCTTTGAACACTGCATAAAGGGCTACCCAGAATAAATCTTTTCGTCTATTTGCTGGGACACGTCCAACGTAAGCTAATTTTAGAGGCAAAACATTACAACACATACTTTATACCTTCCCACTTTTGTATATAGGTAGATATTTATATTTCCAATCCTTAAATGATATTAATTACTCTACTAAAATGTACCTAAAATTTTAGGAAAATAAGTTATAAGTAAGAATATAAGTGGAAATTATTAAATATTTCTCTCTTTGGTCAATTGATTGAATATACATGATATCATATTAAAGACACCTATAGATTACATGTTTTTATTCCCTTTTATCATCATTTATAATTATGTAATGATATAATATATTATTCACTGCTATTTAGATGAAACAACTTATCAAAATATATATTTTTTAATTACAATAATCGAAAATTTAATTCGATTATAATCATAACAGTACCTAGTTAAATGTAATAATGTAACATTTTAGTTAAAATCGTTACTTATCTTAAGAATTTCATACAACTGATTAACATTTTGGGAGTTATCGTAAACTAAAAACTGCGCGAATAAAGAAATTACAGCCGCCTCGCAGCCGTTTCGTATCGTCGCGACACAACGAAGGAGCCCTTTTTGATGCAGCTACTATGCTTTACTACTCATGCGAAACCGGAATACGTCATTAGTTTATAATAAAATAAAAATATAATTAGTCATGTTTTGAAAACGTTTTTTACGTCACACCTTACCTTACTTTCCCCTTATCATTCAACCAAATAGTGATAAACTACGGAGTACATTAACTCATACCACAGATAATATAATATTACATACTCATACTGATGTTGACTAAAGTACTGTCGATACCTACCTATGTGACAAATTAAAATAAGGATCGATCCATAAATATTCTAACCACATGTTTTATTTTACATATTATGAAAATATATATAATTTATTTTAATCTCTTACCACTCCAACAATATGTTAGTGTCATCACCACTTGGAATATAATAATGGAGTTCGCCGACCACAACCACTTATGTCATTTGTTTAAGTCAATATTTATTTAGATTTTAAGTAAAGCTAAGCACCGCTTATAAGTTGAACGAACCGTGTAGATAACGGTGCTGTGACCTACGATCTTGCTCGTTTATTTGACAGATGATTGTGATCGCCATCTTTGGTATCCTCGGTGTGCCGCCTACTTGCGCTGATTCATTTGTTATGTTGTATGGGTATGACACACGAAAACCTAAAAGTTCGTGAGATTTTATTTAATTTTATTTAGGTAATGTATAAATTATGTCGCATACGTCGGAAATCATCATAATATTAATGTGATGTGATGACCTTGTCCATCCCTAGTAGTCTCTGTGGAATTGGTCAAAATCATCATTCAATTCGTGAGACGTTTATGGATAACCCCTAAATGCAAACAATTTGAAAGCCCAACTAAAGGAAATAAACGAATACTATTCATAGACATGAGCAGAATAATGGACATAAACCAATTGGTTGTCCTATACTTAGTTCTGTCTACCTTCACGCCATGTCTCCACGGGGTTAATACCTGGGTACTTATTGTTATATACAATTATTAATGTATCCACTTTCATAACTTGACAAGTCGCTGCAGGGTACTCAGATTCACAAATTATTGTAGGTACGTCGAGATTTTTGAGTCTTTCCCCAGCCACTCTGTTACATGTACTTTTACATATTAAATTGTTTTAAAGGAAGGAAATTAGTTATTTCGAAATCAAATCAAGAAAATATGCTTCCTTTTATGATCTGTATATAAAAAAGATATCAAAAAGAATGATTTTTATCATCTACCTATATCACAATATATATTGTGATGTAGATAGATTATGATAATATTTTCGTCTTCCATAGTGATGAAAAATAGTCCGAATTTATGTCATCATCATCATCATCGCAGCATCCGAATTTATATAATTTATTAGTTTCTTAATACAAATAAAAATAGCACCCGGATATACCTAAGTTACTAATACACAGGAGTAATTAGGCGACGGAATAACCCACAATTAAAAAAAAACGGAACTTTTTATGCTACGATGAACACTTGAACTTGCTGTCGTCTGAAATATGTGTGTACATATCTTTACACATAGTTTTTATTGTTATACCAGTTCAATGTTTTGACCTTTTCATGTTTCCGGTGGGTATGGCTAAAATAATTACAACCATTATAGCATATATAATTATTATAACATATTATATGTTAAATCTATTTTTATAAAAATATGGTTTATTAGTCGCTCATTTTTTTATATAGGTACTCTACTTTTCATTGAGTCGCTGCGGTGTACTTTTATATTCACAAATTATTTTAGGGCATTATAATTAGTCAAGTTTAGTTCAGTTTTCAGTTGTTTTAGTTCAGTTCGGCTACCTTTGGAAATTCAATTTTGGAAGTATTTCTTGTAAAGTTCAAGCACATCTGACATGTGATAAAACTTGCAAGAAATATTGTCGTAGAAGAAAAGCCGTCCAGTTTAAGCTTATTATATATTAGTGCTCAACCCGGTTTCTGCATATGTAAATATTATATATACTAGATTATAATAAAGACGACCTCGGTGGTCTAGCGGTCTAGCACACTGCTTTACGACCGATGGTCGCGGGTTCAATTCCTCGCACGGCACAAACATTTTGTATTCGTGAGTATGATTATTTGTATCGGTCTGGGTGTTTTCTATGTATAATATGTATGTATTTACAAAAAAAAAATCTATGTATATGTATCAGTTATCTAGTACCCATAACACAAGCTTTAGCTAGCTTAACTTGGGTCTAGATGGCGCTGTGTGAATTGTCCTGAGATTATTATTATTCTTTTTTTTCCAAATATTCTCTCTTATTATTATTATTATAATACTCTGGAATAAAAAATTTGATCCGATAAAAGGTTTCTTATAATATTATTTCTGATGAATAAAATTTTAATAATATCTAATAATGTTTTACTTTATTACAGATATGACCTCGTCGACGTGCCAGTGGAAACCAGAGAGATCTTAGCGCAGATGACAAAAGTAACGAGTGGCAATATTCTAGCTGAGTGTGGTGGTAACGTGACGGAGGTTGTGACTACACCTGTGGTGGTATATCTCACTGTCAAGAGTAAGGTGATTGATCTCACCTGGGATACAGATGAGGAATATTTCCTCGACGTACAAACCAAAGGTTGGTAGGAAGTTGTGTAGTTGTTATTTCGATTATTGAATATATGTAGCGTTGTAACTTAGTGGTTTAGTATACGATATCACCCTCGACTGATGTCCCGCCAGCGTATACCTATAGCGCAGGCGAGTCCAACAATCCATTAAAAAAAATAAGTCTATCGTGACGTTGAATTCTAAATAAATAATAATAGTAATATTACAAATCCGAAAGTATATAGAAATAAACAGCTGACCTTGAAAGTGAAATTTGAAATGGAATTAAAATTGTATCATCACAACTGACTTATATTATCTTTTATTAAAAAAGCTGACAAAGTTACATGTATAATTAAAAATTTACGTAATCTTTTTAATAAAACCTACAGATGGAACCGTGGTTGTTAAACTTAATGCTGAAACTGTATATGGAGCTCGCCATGCCTTGGAATCCTTCACACAACTCATATCAGCAGACAAGCCTGATTATTCCGACTCAGAAATATGTGGGCTACGTCTAATTTCTGGAGCTAAGATCAGGGATCGACCAGTTTATAGACATAGAGGTTTTGTTCTGGATACGTCTCGTCATTTCATACCAATGAAGGACATCATGAGAACTATAGACGGGATGGCAGCAACTAAGATGAACGTTTTTCATTGGCATGCCACTGATTCTCATAGTTTTCCTTTGGAGTCCAGTCGAGTGCCGCAATTGACAAGGTAATCTTCAAGAATTTTTTTCTTCTAATTCATAACGTTTTAATTCGCAGTTTTAAGTCGTCAACATAAACAAATTAATATCAGCGCAATGCTATTAAACTGTTACAGTATATCCTCAGCATATATCGAGTGTGTTGTCATATAAAATTAGTGCTGTAAACTAATTTTATATATGTGTGCATTATTGGCTGTTAATAAATTATTTTTTATTACATATTTGCATGGGTTTTTCTATCTCACATATGTCTGACATCAAGCCTATTTATTGTATTCCTGTAGAGGGGTGAGATATGGCAGTTACATTACTAGGAATTATGGTGTATCGTATTAGTCTTCTAGAATGTCAATGTAGAACAATGGAACGCTGGTATAGTCTGTATGTAATGACTGTTCTATACCTTGCGCTAGACGATGCCTCATCCTTACTAATATTATAAATGTGAAAGTAGGGATGTTGACCATCATGAAATTTTGTACACACATTCTTGGAGATAGATAGAATAAACATAGGATACTTTTTATTAAAAAAATAAAAATATTATTTATTTAATCGATTCAATACAAGTGAAGCCGAAAAAGCTATATCCTATAATTTCACTGCTTAATCAAACTGTACATCTGAAACATAGTTTACAAAGCAAGTTTCTTGGTGGCCGACTATTACTATTCTACTTTTAGTACGTGGCAGAATTTACTTAACCTTTTGTAATATTAGTAAATTTACAAAACCTTATAGGTACGGCGCATATTCACCATCTGAAATATATACAGTGGAGGAAGTGAGACGGCTAATCAAATATGCCCAAATACGTGGTATCCGTGTTGTCATAGAAATAGACGCTCCTGCACATTCTGGCAACGGCTGGCAATGGGGCAAGGTAATGTAATGGAACTCTTTATTGTATACTGAACAATTAGTACTATAAGTATTACAAATTTGCTTAACAGAAGGCGCTTAGCCCTTACCGCTAAATGAAATCTCCAACAGATATACGAAATACGAAATATCGACTGTCATTTAGTTATTCGATAATGTAAGAAATCATAAAATTGGTGCAGAATTGATAATGATAAATATTCAAAAGCTATAATAAAAATTTAATTTTTGTTTTAGATTCTATAGATTAATCGAAAGAAAAGATTTACATACATTTTCCTTTAAAATAATTATTTTAAAGGATAATGTATGTAAATAGAAAATTTGTCTATATTTATAATTATATTAGGAAACACATCCTGGCTAACTTAGTCATGTATGAAACAAGCTTAAACCAACTGTTTACTAGATACGTAAAAGGAGCCTTTATTCCTTTTCTGACATTGTTATCCTAAGAGATGATTAAAAAAAGTTCTCACGGGAACGGGAGATAACAAGATTATATGTAATTTTAACACATTAAGTACCTACTTAAAATACACTGCTATCACTTGTTAATGTTATACTGATATCAGAGTACAGGCTGATTTAAAAACCCACAATATTGCCCGTTTTAGATAGATTTTTATTACAGTCGAAGTATATATTATATATTTTTGTATGTTGGTTGCTAATCATAGGCCGTCATCCATAGATTTTTCATTGGCACGGCTGGCAGTGAAGTGCAAAATAAAGTGGCGAAAATGTATAACCGTAATCCAGCAATACAGTTTGTAAAATAAAATATCTTATGAGAAGATATCTTATGTATGCTCTGCTATTAACAAAACATAATCATAACCATCTAATTTATGGTTAACGGTGTTGGTGACAATTTTATAAATATTTTTTATTCTATTCAACACTGTGTAAAATATATAAGTTTGTCATTGTTTGTTTACCTAAATATATTTAAAAAAAATCTAAAAAACCTTAAGACTAATCTAAAGTATGCCTTTCATCCTCAGGATTACGGGTTTGGTGATCTGGCAGTCTGCGTCAACTCCGAGCCCTGGCGTCGTCTATGTATACAGCCGCCTTGTGGTCAATTGAATCCGGCCAACCCCGTTTTATACCGGGTACTGCGGTCCTTGTATAAAGACATAGCTGAAGTACTTCCTAAGCCATCATTGTTCCATATGGGAGGAGATGAGGTTTGTACCAATCGTATATAACTTAATAATGATAATGTAATGGGGTGAAGGGGATTGTCAGTAATGGGGATTAAAAATGTCTATATGTCGAGATAAATTCTGTCTTCAATTAAAATATCATTAAGTTCAGTTCACCTGTGCCTACACTTGTAATATTTCTGTCGACACTTGAGACACTTCCATTAGTTTACGTCTCAACATTGATTTAAGTTAAGTGTAAAATCAGTCTACGTCCCGACTCCGCGTCGACTGGACGCGTTATTAATAAACCATGTAGCACACTACCAATAAACTTAATAATGTACAATAAATCATACAATCATTTGGAATGTACAGGCACATCTTCACATTTATAATATTTGAGTCAGTTTTTAATACTAATTTTAAATGCGTAAATAGGGTCTATGTATAGGGCTATAAATCTTAATCCATAGAGGATTAAGATTCATTTATAGCCATTTAAAATTTTTATTATTATAATTACACAATAATAGATACGTAAGCGATTTTTCTTAAAATTCGAATGATGTATTGAGAAATATATTTAAATTCTTATAAAAAAAGTACAGCCCACATAACAACAATAACGTACGAAAATTCACACAGCGCTATCTATTCTCAAGTTACCAGTATTTGTAATTTGAATACTAAACAACTGATCGATATATGATACGATTTTTCTTTACATATATATTATAAATAGTCAACACCTATTTTAGGTTTCCGAAACACCTACACATAAATACAATATATAATTATACTGTCGTCTTACCTTTAGAAACAATGTTGCTCAATCTTATTTCCGGCAAATTTTAGGACAGAAATAGTTAAGCGATGGTATCTACCAGGGGACTTACATAAGACTATCATTTTAACATTTTCTGCTTTTGTTTCGAAACATTTTAAATTGTATAAATGTATTCTTGTGTAGACATAATCTATTATTCAAATTTAATTTTTAATTGGTGCTAATCCACTGGACTGCGGCCAATATTAAAATATTACGCAGAATACATTGTTTACGTTGTTACTACTACTTACTTACTTTACTAATGTCTGGCCACGAATTCGTCCGTATAATTATAATAACATCAACCCAAGCAAATCTAGTCTTGAGCTAACCAGAGCTGGCGGGTACTAGAAAATTGATAAAAATATTTCTTTTATTATTGTAAATATATACCCAAATATTTTCATAGAGAACACCTAGACCGAATAATTATACTCATTAATTAAAATGTTTGTATATTGCGAGGAATCAAACCCGCGACTGCGACGAGTAGGGTGCGAGTAAGGCGATGTGCTAAACCGCTAGACCTCCGGGGTCTTCAAATCATGATTGGATGGAATAAACAATAGACGATCTTCTGTACCTAAAACGCTCATAATTCTTGACATAATTAGTGCTTTAAACATATATACTCATTGTTATAATTTTTTTTTACGGTTGTTTACATTCTACATATTATGTAAACGGGTGATTTACCGTGATAATATATTATTTATGAGCTCCCGATATTTTGGCGTTGTTACAAAGGTCTTGGTCAAGGTCTACTAAAGATGGCAGTGGATGTAAAATAAATTGTGGATATATCGATTACAAAAATATTATTATAGAAAATATCTCGTTTATATAGTGTGTAAAAAGGTAATTACCGCGAAAAAAGTACTTACCTATTATACTACTAAGAATGTTGTACTTATCTACCTATTTGTGTATTATGCGGCGATTGAACCTAGAGCCCTTCGAATAATGGGTCATAGTGCTATAGATAATCGCATAAACAATCACTTGAACCTAATTTGATGCAATTTATGTACTTTTAGGTTTTCTTCGGCTGTTGGAATTCTAGTCAAGATATTGTTTCTTATATGGCTAACAAGGGGTTCGAGACCAATACAGAAGGCTTTATGAGGTTGTGGGCAGAATTTCAAGCTAAGGCTCTACAGTTGTGGGACGAGGTACTACTAGATGAAGGCATCGAACAAAACCAACCTGTTATGATTTGGTCTTCGGAATTGACTCAGGCACATCGCATTAAGAAATACTTGAACAAAGACAGGTAATTATTTTTGTTAACTTACATTACTATAACTATAATTTTATACATTACATATGAAATATATTCAGATCACGTAAATTAAAATATATTCGACTTTAAAAACAAACTTTATTTATTAAAATAATTTGCCAATGCGAGGAGCATTGGCAAATTATTTGATAGAGGCCAGTTATTACAAATCTAACTTATGTATATTAATTTAAAAGATTTACAATTATTTACATTTAAAATAACGATATCTGGAAGAATTGGTATATGGCGGTGTAACCTTGATTTATATTTTTTTATAGTAGAGATAAACCTACACAATTGAACAACCTATGTTACATTATTGCTAACTTACCACGTTACCGAAAAAGTGTTGTTTTTCAAAAACCGTAATCGATGTTTTTTTTTTTTGCGTCACTCAGTTTACAAAATGGAAAACTTAAAGTATAGAATATGTACGTATATACTATTATTATTATTAAGTATGCTTTGTCATTATGAATTCAGATACGTAGTAGAAGTTTGGGAGCCAGTGAATAGTTCGCTCCTGAATCAACTACTGCAGCTCGGGTACCGGGTGGTGTCTGTACCTAAAGATATATGGTACCTTGACCATGGCTTCTGGGGGAACACCAAATATTCCAACTGGCGACGTATGTACTCCTACGCACTGCCGAAAGACCCCAACGTTTTGGGCGGCGAGATAGCCATGTGGACTGAATACGTGGACAATGGAGTTTTAGGTAAGTATCCGATTGTTTATTCTTAAATCTAATGTTCATACATTCTCCTGGATATTACCCTATATGGGGTCAGCATGCACCACGCACAAGTACATTGTGGAAGGTGTTCCAGCAGTGGTATTTCCGAACCGATACGATATTGAAACCTTCAACGAAAGAGCTTATTCCTTATTAAAAGGCTGGCAACGCACTTGCAATTCCCCTGGTGTTGCCGGTCTTCATGGGAGGCGGAAATCACTTACCGCATAGGTGAGCCGCAGCTCGTTTGTCCCTTGTGCTATAAAAATAGCTCCTGATATTTTTAAGCCACTCCTAACAAGGAATGCAGATAATTTGATCTTAACTTATGTGGTGTATATACATGTACACCGTTTAATTTCGTTAAATAATAATAAAATACCAGAACAATACACACCGCGACATCTGCTCTCTCTAGGTAGAGTTTGCGTTACGATTACTAGATAACTGATATGAATACATAGATAATTTTTTTTGTAATTCATAATATAAATAGAAAACATCCAGATCGATTCAAACAGTCATACTCATTAAATTAATGTTCGTATCGTATGAGGAATCGGACCTGCAACCATCAGAAGTAAGGCGGTGTGCTAAACTGCTACACCACCGAACTCGTCTAGTGTGAATAATACAAGGATTGTGTACAGATACCCGCGTGTGGCCGCGCACGGCGGCAGCAGCGGAGCGGCTGTGGTCGGATCCATCGTCGGGTGCGCAGGCGGCCGAGGCGAGGCTGCAGAGGCTGCGCGCGCGGCTTCTGTCTCGCGGACTACGCCCCGACGCGCTCGCGCCCGCCTGGTGCGAGCAGCACGACGCGCGCTGCATCTGATGCGCCGTGAAACTACCCACCACGTGCCGGTTCGTGTCCTACTGTCTAATGTAACTAGAGTTCGCGACTTCTGTCTCGCGGTCTACGCTCTGACGCGCCCGCCTAGTGCGAGCGACTCGACGCGCGCTGCTTCTGATGCTTCATAGGACTACCCACCACGTGTCGATTCGTGTCCTACTGTCTAGTGTAACTAGAGGTCGCGACTTCTGTCTCGCGGTCTACACCCTGACGCGCCCGCCTAGTGCGAGCGACACGATGCGTGCTGCATCTAATGCGCTGTGAAACTATCCACCACTTGCTGGTTCGTGTCGCACTGTCTAATCTATCTAGAGGACGGGCGCCTTGCGGCCTGTGTGCCGATGCATTGTAACCTTTTACTTAACGTTCGTTTTAACATTTTCATATTAGATTTGTTATTTAACGAATAAAAAATACGTATTATACATATTGAAACCTTCAAGAAAAAAGATTTCATCGTAAAAGGCTAGCCACAAGCCAATTATATTTCTGCTGTTGCAGGTACTGAGGGCGACAGTAATCAGTTACCATCAGGCGATCCGCAGACCAGTTTAGGTAAAACGATAAGCTGTAAAAAGTATGCATTTTTTGTGTGACGGTATTTAATATATACCAAAAATGTATTTAAGTATTTTTATTATACTGTGTTTGGGAATAGATGACGCTGTATTGTTCACTAGTATTTAATTATATTATTATTAAAATCTGACGAGTACAGGATATCAACTTTCGCATGTATATATATATATATATATATATATGCTGAGTCGTAGGGATTTTGGGACCATATTAGTTGTAAAATAACATTAGATTATAATATTTACAATCAAATTCAATTTATTACATTGACATTGATTTATTAAAAAAATAATTGTATTGTATAACTTGCTATTACATGATTCATTTAATACGATTTGTATATTATATTTTATTCACTTTTATATGTAAATTCCGACTACATTTTATCAATGCACTATTGATTTATAAATAATTCATGTACGATATGCATGGCGGTTAGGTATAAATGTACCTAATTATATATAAAAGAAACAAATATTTTAATAACATATGGTATCAAATTTATTTTAACCATTGAAGGATTTGTGAGTACTAAAACTAAGTATGGAGTATTGAATGGCTAGCGCTAACGGAATACGTTGTCAATGGAGGATGATGAACATGAAGTCAGACCGTATTAGAGAATTCACTAGGAATTAACTACGTCGGTTTCCAGGGAAGACCGTATGTAGGTCGACCAGAGATGGTACATATCTTGTCCATGTTTTGGCGATTTTATGAATAGACGCCATTGTTTAAATGAGTAATGATTTTACATAAGGTCTCAACAATTAAATGCAGCCATTTAGGTGGTAATAGGTAATATTATTTATAAAATATTATTCATATGAAGGAAAGCTTATTGTGATAGGTTTGTTAACGGTGTTTAATAAATTAAATGAGTGTTTGTATTTCATAGTGTGTATATTTTAGTTTCAGACTTAGAGAACTACAATTTATACTAATTTAATATTAGCTGAATTAGATTCTCCTCACTGAAGTACATTATTTTGAAATTGTATTACAATGACTACAATATTGATTTTTTTTATCGGTAAATATACCTTAAACTTATATCATTGGAAACTGTTGTGACATGAATGATATATAAAATATTTAACAACGTACTCGCATCGAATTTTTTTAATCATGATTTGTTTAGCAATGGTTAAAGAATTGCTCAAATTAACGATCATTATGAAGTAATATTTGTAAACAAAATTATTATATGAAAAAAACAACATGTGATTAATAAAAGTCTCTTGTCCAAAAGACTGATAAACATAATTATTTTGCGTTATAAAAATATAGCATTTGTAATTTAGTTATAGATAAAATGGTATACTTTTCTAAATGTTATGTTTTGGATATTCATTTGCCTCACACTTTTAGAATAACCAACGAATAATCAATGTTCCAATTTTTCAAGGTTTCCAAGGGGAACCTCTCTATTACTACTCTAGTGATAGAATATATTAGAAATTGGACTACTGGTAGTATGGGTTCTAATATGTACTAACAATCTCTTCCACACAAAAAAACGCACAGTATTTTGTGATATCTTTAACAAACTGGTTCTATGTTCGTAGACACATTTTGGATATAATGACCAAGTTGCTATATCTTTGCATATACATTAATCCTGTTGTCTGTTTGTAAGTAATTAATTGTATTTAGATATATTTTTGATGTGATACTTAAACATTATATTGTATTATTGTAGGCAATGAATAATTAAAGGTGCTTCAAACTAAACAGACTTGTATTTTTTATTACCTTCGTTAATTAAGCTAAAGGAAGTGACTACATCAGACACAGAAATTGTTATTATTGTGCCAATTACTTCTTCATATGAACGACAATTACATTTTCCTTCCGCTGGATATATTATATTTTGAGCAAGTTGTTTCTTCAACAATTCTTGTACATATACTACTGATCACGAATTAAAAACACGATATTGATAAATAATTAATAATCAATAACGTGATTTATATTCGTGAATTTTCTTTGTTTAGTTCTGTGAATTATGAACTTATATAATTTACTAATAAAACTGGGTTTTAAGAAAACAACTGGGATTAAATATGCTTATTTTAATTATGTTTCACAATTAATATGAACTGCCGGTAATAAGTATTCCATTCAATACAATGATTTATAATCCACTCAAATGATGAATTATTGCAGGAATATCTGGAAGTATGGATTTTACAATATATGAAATTTCCTTTTGTAACATTGATATATTCCCGTATCTCCTTCGATATTTTCGGTATATCGAAGGAGGATATATATATATAGGAGAACAAAATTAGATCCTCATACCTCTCCTCATTTTCATACCTAGGATGGATGTTGGTGGTAAGCTGTTACTTTCTTATGAGCACTGACAAATTACAATATCTACAACTTACAATGTATACAAATAAATAATATGGAAGTATGTTTGTAATTTCAAATTACCAGCTTTTCACTAAATGTATATATTTGTTTATACGATACTACATAAAAAATGTCTGTCTATCTGTATCTGTCTGTTTATTTCCTATCCTCTGAAACAGGTAAACTAGTTTTGACGTGACTTTCACTTGTAGATAGGTAATGTAAGAACAATCTTAGGCTACTTTAATTTTAGAAATTTTAATTATTATCATAAAAAATAATTTAATTCAATGTGGATAAAATCGCAGGTAACAGCTAGTTTATCATAATCTACAGTTATTGCGTTGTGCTAAATCCGTTAACAATTTGCCTCTAGACTAATATAGACAATGTAGGGTAACAAGATAGATTAGCTATGATTACGGCGGTTTTTTATACTACTCTAATGCTGTTAGCCGCAGATGGACTTTATAGCAGACTTTACTTTCACCGGACTACCGGACGATAGGGGCCGAGTGTAGACTGCACTCCAACTCCGCGGAAGTACTTATGATGCGGCTAAGGCCAACTCCCGCCTGTCGGATACGACTTTACTCTAAGGGCACAGCTAGGGGTTTGAATCTTAGCTCAGGCTATCGTCATTTCGATCTCCGTTTGAATTTAACGGGGTCAGTTCAGTTAATCAGAGGGGGATTATGGCGTATCACGCGGCAGTAAAAGCGACCGGTCCGGACAAAACCATAAACACTTACTAGTGTTATCAGGTCCTACAGGAAACTCAATAACGTCAGTCAGTTTAACTACAAAATTACACAATATTTTTAACAAAAGATTCTACGGATTTATCAGTTATACATACAGTAATAATATTAGTAGAGAAATATGTACATAAAGAAAGTAATATTTATATTACATTTTTTTGTAACGTCTTATAGCTATTAGCTGACGGTCTGTTGTCAACTTATTTGTATCCTGTGCTCTAATTTTCAAGTTTACAAGAAATGACAATGTGTATATGTTTATGCGTTCGTGGTTATCTTACGCAGTGGAATGCAGTTCTTACCTAATTACTGATTATGATACTTTCTTACCACTAAGTAGATCATATAGTTTGTAATCCAGTAATCTTGGTTATCAATTGGCCATTTGAATAGATAGAGAGAAAGATTCCGAAATAACTATTTTAGTATCATCAGCTAATAAATTAATATATGATACCTAATACGTTGCAAATATTGTATTATCACTATGAGTATTTTAACCATTTATTTTGTTTGATCATTATTAAGAAAATGCTAATGATCGTAAAAAATTAAATCCTAACTTATATTTCTTTGGTGTTTTTAACAATCTAATTGTTTATTGTTATGTGGTTCAATTAACTAATAATAAATATCGTCAGATTTGTAGTCTGATACTTTCAAAAGCTCTAATTATTTTTTGTATTGACAAAATATTACAAAATCGAGCTTGTTATTTGAAACGTTGAATTAGATCATTTTTATTTAAGTGCAATACTTTGATTATATTGATACATTATTTCTACTAACGTCTCTTTCAACATTCGCATGTTTTAAAGAGCCTAAGCTTAAATCGTTTGGTACCAAATCATGTAATACAGTATTACTTCGGAATATACCCGTAGCTATTCTATTTGCAAGTCTTTCTGATTCTCTTAGATCATCGTCTTTCGAGGAATGTGATGTAAGGTCTATTTCTGTATCACTGTCACTGTCGCTTGTTTCTTTATCACGTCTTGGACGATAAGCCAAATTCTGGGGTTCTTCCATAGATGTAGCACAAGGACAATGGTTTTTTGTCATCACCCTTAAATCTGTGGGAACTATTTCAGAATTGTCGATTTGTGGCGTCATTAGTAATGGTGGGAATGCAAAAGGTTGTTGAAGCATTCTTCCATCTTCGTTACCATATATTTGAGAGGAGATATCGTGTGGTGGGTTGGGCATCGGATTAAGTTGATCTGACAAAGTGTTGTGAAGATACGTATCCTGTCCCGGTGATTTATGTTCTCTAGATTCTAGTGTCTGCGGTTCAGGGGATTCCTTTTCTGATGGTGATTCTGGAGCTTCTGGCGAAGAATCTGGAGGTTTAGCATGACCTGCAATAAAATAAAATAAAATATAACCAATTTTAAACTATACTGTCTAGTTATATGAATCATATTCATCTATAAAAAATACTTATTAGTAATTTATTTCATTAAGGTCATTTATAAATAGAAAATCTGTATGAAATTGGTACATAGCTTTTGAAACTGTTATAGAAACGATAGTTTCATAACGTAACATTCAAATTCAACAAAATAAATTAAAATTAGACATGCTAAAAATCTGAATAATAATGAAAAAACAGAACAACAGAATAGAATAGAATAACATTTACTACTTCATACATCACAACAGAACAATGATGAATCCATAAAAAAAATATTATACAGAACATGAAATGATTTCAGGAGTAAGTCCTGTCAAATGTAAATCTATAATAAAATCAAATATACAATGAAAATCTATTCAGAATTGAAGATAATGATAGCTCACAAAGATGTCACGTAACATACTTATAAAGAAAAAAATAATTGAATTGATAGAGAGAGAACAACTAGAGAAAAACAACAACTTAAAAAAATACTGAGATTTACCTGTTTAATTGTTTGTTAAAAATAATAGAATACACGATGGCACCTCACATAAAGCGAACACCGTCGCGATAGTAATATTTTCGAGCAAACGGTCTGAGATGCGGTTGTATGCGGTGCTTTAATTCAAAGTCAAAATCGTTTATTCATATAGGATATTACTTTACCATTTATGAACGTAAATTTTGTTTTTCATTATCTCTATTATTTAATTCAAATACCAGCTTTAGTTGTGAAAAACGGTTAAGATAATGAATTATCATACTGCTTTTTTAACACTCGGTTATTTCACTAATGCCAAATGCATTAGTGAAATAGCGCATCACATCACATCGTATCTCACCGCATTGATTGATTATAGAAGATTGAACAGGTAAAAACACTTTATGAACTTTGGAATTAATTATTCTATTTTTATTGTCCTACATAAGCTATTAGGTATTACTAAAATATGTGCGCTGTTTGAACATGAACTAGATTGTATTAGAGGTATTAGCAGATTCGGCATTACTGCACATTTAATAAATCTATTTTACTTATTCAACTAATAATTTTATTTACTCCCAATCTAATTTCCCTTTTTTATATCAGTTAAGAGTATTTTATTACTTGTGAACTGAGAGCTGGTAAGCACTTTGCCTAGAGGGTAAGTATGGCTATGCAAAGCTGCCAGTATCTTGGGTACGCTGCCTCGATGTGCCGTGTTGGAATTCAATGATTGTTTTTTTTTTGTGATTATTGTTAATATATGTATAATATTTATATCAGTGTAAATAATAAATGTTTAAAGTTAAATATATGAAAATACCTTGCAAGGATAGAGGTGGAGAACCAAGACCCAGACATCTCATGCGCCACGCGTCCTGAAGTAACTGAAGACGAGCTTGCTTGCGCCATTTGGCTCGTCGGTTTTGGAACCAGACCTAACAACGTATTGTAGAATTAATATCTACGACTACATATAATAATTTTTTTTAAGCATTATTATCATAAAATAATGACGTATTAAGAAATATCTATTGGCAGCTTAGTTGTTAAAATATTAAGATAATAATTTGTATATTTATCAACGTTTCAATGAAATAATTAGAACCAGTAGGTACCAAAAAATACAAAAAAATTAAATTAAATTTATTAAAGACAAAACTCCAAATAAAATACTTTGTTCTGAACCTCGAATCCACGCACAATATTATTTTGTACAGTTTATTATGTTCTACAGTACAAAATAGAAGTGAGGTGTATATTCGTAGTTCAAAAAGAATTATATTGTCATTTCAAAAATATTTGTCCTATGTCTTACATGAAGAAAGAACAGAATAATTAAGAATACATTTTTGGATCGATAAACAGTTACCTGTACTCTAGCTTCAGATAGGCTAATTCTCAAGGCTACCTCTTCTCTTAAGAACACATCAGGGTAGTGTGTTTTCTGGAACAATGACTCTAATTCACTGAGCTGCTGGGGTGTGAAGGTGGTTCGATTCCGTCGCTGTCGGCGTCTCCCAAACATGTATTCGGTAAGCAGATCTCCGGGCAATGGAGAAAGGTAAGGACCAGCCATTTCGTCAGTTTGCTTACTTTTAAAATGACTAAACTGATAATTTCAAGTTACAATTAATAACTATTTCAAATAAGTTATATTTAATATTATTCAGTAATATTGTTGATATAAATTTGATTAGAGCAAAATATATATTATTTAACTGTAAATATCCGTCGATTTTCGAATACGTCACTGATATTACAAACTTTTCGAACACAAACCACTAAAAAATGTTACCCTCAATGGCATCAGTACGGTACTGTTTGAGTTTGCGAAAATCTTTTGGAGAAAACCCCAGTGGCTCCACCCCGTACGAATCGAATGGCGTGTGTGATTGGCTAAAGAATACAGGGGTTGGAAAATACAACCAATGAGGGGCCACTTTGGGGGTAGATTTTCATAGGTGTAGATTAAGTTATGGCGCACCTAGGTACCTGTAAATATGAATAATGTATATTATTAGTGCATTAAGTCAACTCGATTTCAAAAGGCAATAAATACGAGTATAAAGCGGAATATCTTACCATATTCTCCATTTCTAATTATAAAAAAAATTGTTAAAAGAGAAAACAAGTATTTACATATCAATATATGTGCTTTTATTATCATTTGCCGTTATCAGATTCTTAAAATTTCAACTATGTATAAAAAACATACACATTTAAACAATTACATATGTATCATTATTATTAGTTTTTTTATTAAGTGATAAAATATTACATCTTAATAGTTTATTTCATATAGAATGTATAAAATTTTAGAAGTTTTAGTTTTAAATATAAGCTAGAAATTATATAGATAATAATAGTATTTAATAAAAAAAACTTTGTTTAAACATTATTATTTTTAATCAAAGAATTAACATATTAACATTATCATTGATGCAATTTCTTGGTGCCTTTAATTCAGATAAACTGATTATTATTTTGTCTATAGGTTTTCTATAATATGAAGTGAGTATTTTAAACTTAGATTATCATTAGGTATAATTAGTTTTGTTTCGTTTGTTTTGGTAATCTAGAAAATAATCCAAACATAACAGAATACAGTTTATGTATTTTACATAAAATGTATACAAAGTTGAAGCGTTGTGACAATACGGATTCAAGCGTTTGTTATATGTGAAATTAATTACATATATTAATAATTTAAAAAAAAAGTTTTGCTAAAATATAAAATTGTCTTAACCTTTGCTCATTATTGATACAAAAAACGATCCAAATTCAAATTTTGGCGCTTATAATTTATTTTGTTTTATTGAATAAAGACAATGATTTCGTCTATTTATTATTTTGTTCTACAGTATTTATTAGATTATTATTATTTACTAATTCATGTCAATACTAGAATAAACAACTATAAACTGCATAGCATACGATATCTTTTTTTATAAAGTGATACAAGTCCAACAGGAGAACGATAATAAATTGTCGTAATTATATCAGATTGTTGACATTTAAATTTAATTTAAATATATTAATGTTCTTCATATATTTATGATTTAATAACGTGAAAACTGCGGGATGAGTTAAGTGGGTTGGAGATAGTACAGCGGAAACAGCGATTACCACCAGCAAATGAATGTCCCTCCCGACGTTGTCGTGTTGCTGTAACCGCAGGGCTGTCTACCGTTTTATTTATCGAATGATTTACTATTTTTTCATGTATTGATCAATAGTTGAAAAATATATATATTTATATTCAAACATGCTTTTTACTGATAAACATACATAAATTATAATGACAGGACGATTTCTATACTCATGTCTATAATTGAAATGTTATAAATAAACAAAATGCAATAATAATGTTGGTGAAATAAAAAAAAAGTGAATAAAGTTTGGAGTCCCGATCTTTTAGAATTTATCAATTTTTAAGCTATTTTAGAAATCAGTTTATTATGTCTACTGGAAATAAATTGCTTATGCTGTATCTTATATGTGTGTCAAAATATGTCATATGTATGTATCATATGCACTGAATCACGGTAATTTGTTTAGACTGCTGGTGGTTTAATAGAGAAATCATTTCAACTCCAAGGACCAGGCATGCTACATTTTTTTGTTATACGAATACAAGCAGGTGATCTATTGTAGGTGTAACAAAAAAAATGTAGTATGAAGACGATTTAATGAATTACGATTATCGAATATCTTTCGCAACCCTGAACTGAAAGCCGGGCGGCCGCCCACCGCAATGCTAAACGAGTTTCCGCAAACATTTTAATGAATAACACCTCCCATAGACCCCCGCACCCCTTCACCCGTCCCCTTTCACTCCTAGACACCCCGTTGCACCCCGCCCAGCCTGCAATGCGCTAATTAAACATTCGAGCTATATTGTTCTATTTACGATGCTACGGAATTTCGTAGCAAACCGCAGATTATGTAGATTAATTAAAATATGAAGTACTATTTTTTCCGTAAATTTGTATAAATTCAATTAAAGGCGAAATATTTGAAGTTTTAGTGTCACCAATATCATCAGGCAGGCAGCTTATTTTGTAAGTTGCGTTTTGGTTGTAGAGCAATTAGTCAGTAAAATTACAGGAGAAGAGGCATATCATTTAGTACTTAGAAATAGCAATGTATGAGCATCACATGATAACGTGAGTGCTGTTCGTGAATATAGACGATGGTTACCGGAATTAAAAATATTAACCATAATATTCACACCAGTTACCTTAAAAACCAGTTACCTTTCGTTTGACACACTTATTCGTAATCGTAGTGTGTCTCTTATCTCCATTCTTATTATATATATTATTATATTAGACAATATATTTGTTTTATTTATCACAGTTATTTTATTTTCAAATTACATAATAGACATGTACCTATGAAGTAGAATACATTTTTTGAGGCAATGTGTGGACACAGGAATATCTATTTTGTACAATTCGTAGCTCGAAGTATGTTTTCTGTCAATTAGAATAATTAGACGTATGAGAAAAGTTATAAAAAAACACTACGTCCCGACAGCTCAATTAGTTAATTAATCTTTTTTTCCGCCTTAAAATAGCATTTATAAACGCGGCGCGAACCAGCCGGTAACAGTCTCCCCTACTGCTCATCTCAGGGTTGAGACTAAACTTTAAAATTTCATAATTTTTTCAATATAAAACATTTATTTGTATGTAACTGAACAATCTTTGTTAAGAATACCAAACTCGATAGAGGTAGGGGCAGGCTTGAAACAATATTAAGAGTAGAGTTATTCTGTAAACATCTCTCACAGACACGAATGCAGAATCCGCTGTGTATATTGTACATTGGCATTCTATCAAACTCGATTGCGACCGCAACACCCCACAATTGTGAGCGTGATGAAGTGAAAACGGGCACTAGTGATTTTTTGCCATATATTGTAAAGGGAAACTTACTACTTAGACAACCATGAACAGAGTTCTCTGGCGCGGATGTACAGGGAGACCGGACCCTAGATAAACTGGGAAATTGGGGTTGGACATAGAGAGAATTGAACAATCCTTTTATGCCACTGGAAGTGTTATGATCTTCCTCATTATTGATCAAATTTCGACCGTCATTGGATCTATAAAAATATTGCGACACGTGTTTCGCCTGTAAACGTCATTTTACATTTTCTACCTAACAATTATGTAAAGACACAATATTAAGGTAATATTTTCAGTGGCCAGTAGTTTTGATGGAAGAGTAACAAACATTCATGCAGTGCAAATTTTGCGTAATAGTAGAATAATCTATTTGAAATTGACTATTGCCAACCCTACTGCACCACTAACAGTGTTTACTTATTTGCAGTAGGAGCGGGACAATACAGTAGTCCGCGCAGCGCGCACACTGGGCTAATTAATGCGCTTCATACTAACTGCGCGCTGAGTGTACGCCTGTACTTACACTCGCTTCATTAACTGCTAATTAAAACAGTTGTGGTTTCCATGAGGGTACGCTACGAGTTATTTTGAATTTAAAATTTTAGTATTGGAATTATTTATTTCAATTTTCAATCAACACAGTCATCTCACGATGATGTGGTGCTCAGAATCAGGTGGGCAGAATTTTTCCATACGATTACATTAAAATAACATGGTCTGATAAATAAAATAAATAGTTCCAAATTGTAATTATTTAATTCAATGTTGGCTTTGTTAATATATTTTATGTTATTACTATTTTACTTCACTCCGGGTAATATAACTTTCTGAGTTTTGTAAACATAATATACTAATTTGCAATGAAGTACCTACTTTTCAAATACTGAAAGAATTTCTGAAAATAGTGCTGCGGCTCTGGAGTTTTCTTTAGTCCTCTTAAGAAAATGCGCTTTCTGTCTTTAATAATATTGGTATGCATACTATTCTTTTATTTTTGTAATATACAATATATTGCTATAGTACAATATAATTAATATCTATATTTACTGTTATCTGTCACTTTGACAATGGAGCGCTGTAGGCACCCAAACATTCATTAATCAAAATACGTTAGGTATCATGGCTTCGCAATGGCGATATCAAAAGGGTTGTAATACGAGCACACGTTGCTTCCTCGCTTTGTCCGAGCTCATCCGTTTTGTTTTAACGCCCCTTTTAACTTTCATACACTCATGTGCATGTCTCCTTCGTCTTTCTTGAGCTGCCTTTACACAACGGGAAATTTTAATAAGTTTTCGCGTTTTTTATTATAACTGGAATGGCGGTGAAGCTGACGAGCTATCTGTTAGAAAATGTCAATCGTCGCCTAAATCAATTTATCTTTGTAATAAAAGATTCGTGAAACTCATAAGTCTTACTAATATGATAAATGCGAAAGTTTGTGAGTTTGGAGCTTTGGATGGATAGATGAATGTTCTTTCACGCAAAAACTAATCATCATAATTCATCATTTCTGCCCGGAAGACGACCACTGCTGAACAAAGGTTTCCTCCAAAAATCCACAACGATCAGTCCTGCGCTGCTCGCATCCAACGCTTTCCAGCGATCTTGACCAGACCGTCGATGCACCTTGTCGGAGGCCTTCTCACACTGTGTCTTTCGGTCCTCGGTAGCGAAAACTACTGAATGGATTATGATAAACTTTACATAATATACAGGCTATAAAGGACTAAGGACCATAGTTTAAAAAAAATATTAGGATTATAATAGTATTAACACAATTATAATGCTAATAATTTAATTTAATTTTACAATGTCACTGGAACGAGGAAAGACCTGAGGGCCCATTAATAACTGGAAACCACAGCCCATTGTCTCCATTT